AAGGCTGCTGACCCACCGCTCCGTGTTAGTGGTTACATTCAGGGAGACAAGACCTTGGGGAACAAAATGGCCTAAGCTGGGAAAAGATCAGAAAAGACAGCCTGCAGCTGCTCTTTATCACCCTCACATCTCAAGCCAAGTGCCTACCAGCTGCGATGTGTAAAGGATGACTTTCCTGCCCGCAAGCTGCGTTAGGAATGTGCTGGCAAGGGCTGGTGGGCCCCCGTCATGGTTACATTCAGGGAGACAAGACCTTGGGGAACAAAATGGCCTAAGCTGGGAAAAGATCAGAAAAGACAGCCTGCAGCTGCTCTTTATCACCCTCACATCTCAAGCCAAGTGCCTACCAGCTGCGATGTGTAAAGGATGACTTTCCTGCCCGCAAGCTGCGTTAGGAATGTGCTGGCAAGGGCTGGTGGGCCCCCGTCACTCAGCAAGGCTCTCCCCACCCTGTGTGCACGGAGACCTCCAGTGGGTGCTGGATTTTTCCTGTGGTCTTTTGTCTGTAGCACACAAAGAGCAATAAAGGTCAAACAGCAGCTCTCAGTTCGGCTACTGATTTTCCATGCCATTTCTTGTTGCTGAAAGATGCCTGGTAGGCACTCTGCAGGAAGGGAAGACTTTCTAACCCATGGCTTGGGTACCGGCTGGCCCATGTTGGGGCATGAGATGCTTTTCTTACCAACGCAGAGCTCTCGTAGCAGAGGTAGAACAGAAATTGCTTGTACTGCTGCATCCGCTCTCTTTCCTCTGACCCAGCAGATGCTCCACCGCAGTTGTCGCACCTGAGGTCAATGAGTGCTGCTAGTCCCCAGCTGGCACGCTGCACTGGACAGGGAACTGGGCAAGGATGGCACCAGGATCAACTTCATTGCATTGCCCAGGAAAGCGAGGAGGAAACCACGCCAAAGCTCTGGGAGGCCCCAGTTACAGATGAAATAGCCACAGCCCCCGGCAGAGGTGGACATAGATGCCCTAGCAGAGAGCGATCACCAGGTCCGCTCCCGCTAACCCATTCAGGTGGAGGCAGAGGCCGAGCTCAGAGCAGCACCGGCAGCTGCAGGCACAGGGCAGGGGAACACACAACTTGCTTTGTGCATAAACCTGCCTCTTGCCTGCCTGGCACTAGAGACCATCCTGACCGTAGTCTGCTCACAACTAAACAGAAACACTCCAGACTCGAGGCCAAGTTTATAAAACCTGTCAAATTCCCAACACCCAAATACAAGTTCAAAAGTCGTTATGGAAATTAGACCCAGGCGGTGAGCTGCACAGTCAGAGATCATCACCACCACCAGGGATTCCTGGTATGGCAGCAGCGTCCAGAGTCCCTGTGAAGAGCCCCAGGTTGCCAGCACACCACACAGCCTCATCTGCACAGGCAGTTCACCGGCTGTGCTGGCTGTTTCTCTGGCTGACTATACCCCATGCAGAAATACTAAGATGACCTCCTCCGATCAAGTGAGTTAGAAGCGCAACTTCCCCTCCGGGAGAGATAAGACTGAATACCCATTTCAGCATGTCTAAAAAACAAAAGGCAGCTGAAGCAGACTTAAACAGCTGTCTCATGAAAGACAGACTTTTCTTATTTACATACTTCTCCATCCCCGAAAGGTACAGCTGATGGCTTGTGGCTCAAAATATCAATGACTTTTTAATGCTATTTGCTCAAGGAAACTCCCATGAATATTTCATGACAGCCTGTCTTGCAGGTTCGGGCTGAGGTTTCGTGCCGTCAACGAACAGCACTGCATGTGTTGTGCCGCAAATCTAAGCTGTGCTGAGCAGCAGGTGTGGCTGTCAGCTCCTGGAGAGCAGACAGACATGCCAGCACCACGGGAGCTGCATGCTGCAACACTGCTCAAGACCTGCGCTGAGATGCCCATTACAATTCCCTGAGGTCGGGCTCCTTTTGCAGCCCGGCGCTTTGCAACCACTCAGCTGGTGTGAAAACTGGGGTGTATTTTTGATTGGTTGGTTGGTTTGGATTTTTTTTCTCCAGGCCCCCTGTCTCATTTAGCTGTTAGGCCAGAAAGCTGAGAGGCAACGGGCAAGGCTGCAAATATCCCCCAAATCACAATCTTGGCTCAACGACTGACCCTTTCCTGGTCGTGGCTGGGCTGTACCCGGTGGCACCGGAGCATCTCCGCAGTCTGCGGAGGTCTGTAGATGGTGCTGGAGGACTAGGGAGCACCAGTGGGAAACGTGAGGCGACAGCCGAGGTGTGCAGAAACCAGCCTGAGAATCCTTTGCTGACAGCTGCCCTGGTTCTGGGGCTCAGAGGAGAGGGAGGACTCACCCAGGCCTCTCCTCCCTGCTGCCAAGCACCAGCCCAAGGTCACTGCAGGACCAGTTCAGGTGATCTCCCCTCTGAGCATCCCGTGCCCTGGGGCTGTTGGAAAGCCATCCTTTGCAAAAGTTAAATGAAGATGCAGGCTGTGACCACAGCCAGCGAAATGCAAACACCTTCGCTG